CATGTCAGCGATCTCGATGGAGACCGTCGTTTGGACTCCAACAATACATGGAGGTTTTGTAAATTCAGTGAGGCAAATGACTACTTGGCATTACATCGAATAGGTTGTCGATCGGGACAAATGTCGCCGAATGGTAGAAAACTAGATGGTTTTTTAAGCCAAAGGTATAAAAGTTTCAAACTCATTCCCTTTCCCTCACTTTTTCATCTTCCCAAACTCACACCTGCACTCTAGTCTTACATTTCTTGCATTTTTGGAGTATTTTTACTACCGAATTATGCTACGAGTTGGATTACATTGTTTCCTAGCATCTCAATATCCATTTGATCGACATAAAAGGTTGGTACTTCAAACCCCGCGTTCATTTTGTCGAAATTGTACTCATTTGCAATCTGTTAAGCTTGTTGAATTCTTCTAGGCCTCGCCTATTCCTAATCGATAACTTTTGCTTGAATGGTGAAATCTCGCTTTCTAGTGCGTTAAGTTAAATTAATTTACAATAGGGAGTGCTTTTATGTTACGAGTCTTAGTTGAATTTGTGCTGCAGGAGCTTAAATTGCATTTTCGGGGGTTGTAGGGCTGATTTCAAGAAGTTGGGTTGATAATAGGCACGACGAGTCATTTCGGTGTGCTGAGACAAGCTCGCCGAACCATTCAGCGGTTTTCCTAGTTGCATTACCTCGCCTTTGATATCATGCTTTATGTGTTGTGGCTTCTGTACCTTTCGGTGAGAAGCATGAGGTCGCCAAAAGCACTTGGCGACTCACCGAAAGTCTTCTTGTTCGCCCTTTGTCTGCACCCTTGACCCCTGTTGCACTGTACCTTTCGACAAACACCTCTTTGTTTGCTGAAAGTATTTGGCGACTCGCCGAATGGACTGCTAAGTCTGCCTGCAGCTGATGGTCTTCGGTTTACTTGTCGAATATTTTCTAACTTTATCTCAAGGCTTTGCAGACATGGTCAGACCAAAAGTTGCAAGAAGAAATATGCCAACTCAACATATAAAGGCACAAAACTCCAGAAAAGATGTAGGGACGACAGATCACCCCTAAGCAAGGAGCGAGAACAAGAAAGCCAGTTCCAGTAGGAGGATTCCCATTGACCCTATTGTCGCTTCATGGGCTCGAGGGTTCATTAATGGGATACATGCCTTTGGAGCAGCTCACGATTTGGACAATATAGCTAAGGCTAATATCGCTGTAGCAACTGAGGAAAACATAGACAATGAAAGTGAGAGTCAGAATGACAACACTCCGGGCACTAATGCCCAGACAGATGGAGCAACTACTTAGACAGAATCCCCTCTTTACCCCTCTCTGTCTTTCTTTATTTTACCTTTTGGATTCTGTGTTATTTGCATTTGAGGACAAATGTTTTTGTTTGTGGTGGGGTGAGGCCCATCTTTTTGTGTTATTTGTGAATCGTGTTTTGTTTGAGTATTTAGGATGTGAGCTATAATGTTGTGTTAATTATGTTTTTATGGATGTTTAAGCTTGTGGCTCCGTGTTTTAAATTGCAAAATGATTTTAACCTTTCCAAAAAATTTTGCCACCTCTCACGTGTGAATGTGGTTGTTCTTGTCCCTCGTTTGAATTGGATTGATGTAAGAAATTCGAGGAAAATGAAATTGACTAATCCAATTTTGACCGACCACATTTTCATCTTCTGGGAAAAAGGGTTTGGTACGGACTTTAGGGATTATGGCTGAACCTCGGGAATGGGTTTCCTACCTATATCAGGCTATATGAGAACTAAGGCTATTTGTAGTTCGATACGCTTGATTTCGTGCACAATTTTAAAAGCATTCAAAAGTCATCCCAATACCGAATTATGAAGGCACCAGAATGCTTGAAAATAAAGTCTAAGAGAAAATGTTGGAATGCAGCCGATTTTTCAATATTGATTCCGCCTACATATCCCTCAGCTTAGGAAATCAGGCTGCTTGTAGTTCGACTCAGTCGGTTGAAAAGGAAATCTATTATGCAAGATATCCTTTGGTTCTGGAGGAGTGACAAGTAAGTCGAGTATGAAAAAGAGGCTTGCAACCTCTTAGCAATGAATGTGGTGCACTACGCACTCATAAGTAAGAACTTACACGGACATAATTTCCAAAGCACTTGGTACATTGTCACTCAGATTGGAAATTTGCTTCCGGTGAACCCAAAATTTTCCGGATGCGAAATTGAAACTAGGAAACCTAAAGAAAAACCCACTTGTCTTCTGATAGGGGTGTGGTTTGATTGTGGTGGAAGTCACTCCTCTGCTCGCGTCCTAAGAGTTTGGCACTCCTCTTTGGACTACATCCCAGTTCGCTGCTAAGAAAAAGTTCCACGTTGTGCTGCATCCTTTTTGATGTCGTCCGCACCTGTGGTTTGCTTTGAGAATTAATCCTCTTGGGATGCTCTCGAAAAAGACTGAGATAAAACTCATTAGCATAAAATGCAATTCAAATGGAGAGATAGTGTCTTTTACCGTGTTGACACTTGATTGCTCTCCTTGAACATTTAACGTCAATTCCATCAGGTTTGACGTAAAGAAAATAAAGTTTGTGTCTCATATTTGCGATATAATTTTCAATGTACTCTTCCTTTGATGTCAAAGCAATAAAATAAGTTGATGTAATATGTCGGCGGTTTTCCTGCTATCGTTGTTGATGATTCTCTTGATATCGTTTTTGCAAGGAAAATGATGCAGTTAGTGTTGATCTTCTTGTGCTGGGTAAAGCCTTCTCGTGATGCATGATTTTTTATTTTTATTTAATTTTTTGCGATGCATGACTTCCTTCTCTTGCTATGCATGACTTTCTTTGCGATACATGACTTCCTTCTCTTGTTATACATGATTTCCTTCTCTTGCAATGCATGACTTCTTTCTCTTGCTATGCATGACTTCTTTCTCTTGCTATGCATGACTTCTTTCTCTTGCTATGCATGACTTCTTTCTCTTGCTATGCATGACTTCTTTCTCTTGCTATGCATGACTTCTTTCTCTTGCTATGCATGACTTCTTTCTCTTGCTATGCATGACTTCTTTCTCTTGCTATGCATGACTTCTTTCTCTTGCTATGCATGACTTCTTTCTCTTGCTATGCATGACTTCTTTCTCTTGCTATGCATGACTTCTTTCTCTTGCTATGCATGACTTCTTTCTCTTGCTATGCATGACTTCTTTCTCTTGCTATGCATGACTTCTTTCTCTTGCTATGCATGACTTCTTTCTCTTGCTATGCATGACTTCTTTCTCTTGCTATGCATGACTTCTTTCTCTTGCTATGCATGACTTCTTTCTCTTGCTATGCATGACTTCTTTCTCTTGCTATGCATGACTTCTTTCTCTTGCTATGCATGACTTCTTTCTCTTGCTATGCATGACTTCTTTCTCTTGCTATGCATGACTTCTTTCTCTTGCTATGCGTGATTTCCTTCTCTTTCAATGCATGACTTCTTTCTCTTGCAATGCATGAATTTCTTCTCTCGTAATACATGATTTCTTTCTCTTGCAATGCATGAATCTCTTTCCCGCGATGCATGAATCTTCTGTTGCAATGCATAAATCTCTTCCCGCGATGCATGAATCTTTTCTTGCAATGCATGAATTTTCTCTTGCAATGCATGAATCTTCCCGCGATGCATGAATCTTCTCTTGCAATGCATGAATCTTCTCTCGCGATGCATGATCGTCTTTTCTGATGATGCCATCCATGGTACCGAACGAAGATAATGTTTCACCGGATAACATAGATGATCTTCTGGGTATCTCCTGGGTGGCGGTATCGCCTCAATTGGCGATACGATAAAAAATTGACCCTTAGAGTAATAGTATCATCTCATTCGACAATACGACACAAATGACTCTTTGGGTAGTAATATTATCATGTCCGATAATAATAATGCAAATAAACGTCCTCCAAGTATCTTTAGTTGCTGGAAAACAAATGAAATTTCTTTGTTCGAGGTTTTTATTTGTTCTATCTCCGAACATAATTATATATTCATTATGGACCTCTCCTTGTTGAGAATTTGAATGAAATAATGCTACTCATATTCCCAAATCTTTGATAGAAGAAACATAAAATTTTCCTGCATCCACAAAACAAATTGTCAATTTTTGGGGAGTTCCTCGCCCTTTCAACTTCCCCATATTCATTGGATGGTGGGATATGCTAATTTTGAGGTAAACCTATAGACCTGTATCCACGGAAAAATTGTTAGTTTTAAAAATGAACTGATCTGTGTCGATCTCTTCGGTTGTTTGCTTCTTGTCTTGCTATCTCCGGTTGATTTTTTTCGATCTCCCGCCTCTTGATAGATAAGACAAAATATTTTTATGCAAAATAATTGGAACATGCAAGAAAAGTTTTAAGAAAAAATAGATTTTTAAGAAAATAATATTTGGAAAATGTCACTGCCAAGTGTCATGTCACGTCAAGCTCTAGCCAACATTTTTGAAGTTGGGGCCTCGAGGTCTATCTGGTTACTTGTTGGAAAGTATTCAAAGTTGTTTTAAACTACCCATAAACCAAGTTGAAATTTTTTAGGTCATTCTCAAAAATTTATGTCCCAGTTAACTGTCTTGGTGTATCTTTAACCGTTGGTGATCAAATCACGAAATTTTTGAGAGCCGCTCAAACATTCTGTCCCAGTTGCGAATTTCAAAGTATTCTTTTTGAGATTTTTTGAGTCCCTCTCAAAAATTCTGTCCCAGTTTCTATTGTAAAGGAAAAATAGAAATCTTACGGGAGATATGACCGAGCCGTTGTGGCCTCTACGTATCCCGTTGACGCATGAATCAGGTCAAACGTAGTTCCCCCTCAAAGATTAATAAAAAAATAAAAAAAAAATAAGGAACCGACCGTGGCCGACATAGGCCACCTACGTATCTCATTCTTGAGAATTCAGGTCGAACGTAGTTCATTACAAGAGAGATAAAATTTAGAACGACGCAATTACAAGCAAATAGAACAATTACAAGGAAATGACAAGAAAATACAAACTGAAGTTTCACACATAGTATCTCTTGACAACATTTGAGTTGATCGGTTTTAGCCACTCAGTGCCATCCATCTCCGATAGGACCAAGGCACCTCCAGATAATACTTTCCGAACCATGAAGGGTCCTTGCCAATTTGGTGCAAATTTTCCTTTATATTCATCCTGGTGAGGGAAAATACGTTTGAGAACCAACTGACCAATCTCAAACATTCTGGCTTTAACTTTCTTGTGGAAGGCACGAATCATTCTCTGTCGATACAGTTGTCCATGACAAACAACAACCATTATCTTCTCATCGATCAATGTTAATTGATCAATCCGCTTGCGAACCCATTCAGCATCACTCAATTCAGCTTCTTGGATGATTCTCAATGAAGGTATTTCAACTTCTGCGGGTATAACTGCCTCTGTTCCATATACTAGCAAATATGGAGTAGCTCCAACTGATGTTCTGACAGTCGTTCGGTAACCTAATAAAGCATATGGAAGCATCTCATGCCAACCTCTGCGATTATCAATCATTTTCCTCAAAATCTTCTTTATGTTCTTGTTGGCGGCTTCTACAGCTCCATTCATTTGGGGACGATAGGCAGTTGAGTTCCCGTGAGTAATCTTGAATTTTTCACATATCTCTCTCATCAAATGACTGTTGAGATTCACTCCATTATCAGTAATGATGGATTCCGGTAGTCCAAACCTACATATCAAATTGTTGCGAACAAAATCAGCTAAAACTTTCTTGGTTACCGACTTGTACGAAGCTGCTTCCACCCACTTGGTGAAGTAGTCAATAGCAACCAAAATGAATATGTGTCCGTTAGAGGCTGCTGGCTCTATTGGACCAATGACATCCATGCCCCAAGCTACAAACGGCCAAAGTGAACTCATAGCATTGAGTTCATGTGGCGGCACCCGAATCAAATCTCCATGCACTTGATATTTACGACACTTTTGCACAAACTTCCAACAATCATGTTCCATAGTCATCCAAAAGTAACTGGCTCAAAGTATATTCCTGGCCAAAGTGAGCCCATTCATGTGAGTAGCACAAACTCCCACATGTATTTGTTCCAGAAGCTTTGCAGCTTCACTAGCATCAACACATCTGAGAAGACCTAAATCTGGAGTCCTCCTATAAAGGATTTCTCCACTTGCAAATAAATTGAGGGCCATACGGCATATCGACTTCTTCTGGTTAAACATTGCATTCTCAGGATAAATTTTGGTCTCCAAGTATTTCTTGATGTCAAAATACCAAGGTAAACCATCTGGCTCTGCTTCAACATGTGAACAATGGACAGGCTGCTCTTTTACCTCTATATCCAAGGGATCAATATAACTTGTATCCGGATGTTTGATCATTGAGGCAATGGTGGCAAGAGCATCGGCCAACTCATTTTGTGTTCTAGGAGTATGTCTGAACTCAATCTTGCGAAATCTCTTGCACAACATCTGTATATGTTGCACGTACGGTGTGATTTTTGGATTCTTCACGACCCATTCTCCTTGAACTTGATGAATCAGTAAGTCTGAGTCTCCAATACCTAGAAGCTCATGAACGTTCATGTCGATTGCCATCTTTAAACCGAGGATGCAAGCTTCATACTCAGCCATGTTGTTCATGCAATTAAATCGAAATTTAGCCGCCATAGGATAATGCTGACCGGATTATGACACTAAGACTGCTCTGATACCTTTCCCTTGGTGATTTGCCGCTCCATCAAAGAATACTCTTCAGCCAGGATACACTTCAGAGATATCTTCACCCACAAACGCTACTTCTTCATCGGGAAAATAAGTCTTGAGCGGTTCATACTCTTCATCAATTGGATTCTCCGCAAGATGATCGATCAACCAAGGCTTGTGCTTTTATCGCCTTCTAGGTCACATACACAATGTCAAATTCGCTCAAAAGCATTTGCCATTTAGCCAACTTCCCGGTCGGTATTGCTTTCTAGAAAATATACTTCACCGGATCCATCCTGGAAATAAGGTACGTGGTATAAGAAGACAAATAATGTCTCATCTTTTGAGCGATCAAAGTCAAAGCACAACATGTTCTCTCCAAAAGGGTGTAACGAGCTTCTATATGAAGTGAACTTTTTACTCATGTAATAAATGGCTTGCTCCTTCTTTTCAGTCTCATCATGTTGACCAAGCACGCATCCCAACGCATTATCTGAGACCGACAAATATAGCAATATTGGACTCCCTTCTCGTGGAGGGACCAACACCGATGGATTGGAAAAATAGTTCTTGATGGCATCAAAAGCAGTTTGACATTCTCCAGTCCACACCACGGTGGATTGAGCTATGAACCAGCTGATGTAGTTCAACCTTCCTAGAAAACTCATCACCTCCTTCTTTGTCTTCGGATGAGGTAATTTTTGGATCGCCTTGATCTTGGAAGGGTCAAGCTCAATGCCCCTTCTGCTAACTATGAATCCCAACAACTTGCCAGCTGGCACTCCAAAAGCACACTTGGAGGGATTTAACTTCAAATTGTATCGGCGTAACCGATCAAAGAATTTCCTTAAGTGAGTCAAGTGATTCGAATTCTCGCGGGACTTGATTATAACATCATCTACATACACTTCGATCTCTTTTGTGAATCATATCGTGAAATATGGTTGTCATGGCCCTCATGTAAGTAGCACCAGTATTCTTGAGACCAAAAGGCATCACTCGATACTGATATACATCCCAGGGCGTGATAAAAGCTATCTTTTCTGCATCTTCTTCATCCATCAGGATCTGGTGATAACCCGCATAACAATCCACAAACGAATGCATCTCATGCTTAGCACAGTTATGAATGAGGATGTGAATGTTTGGCAATGGAAAATTATCTTTCGGGCTAGCTTTGTTGAGATCTCTGTAGTCAACATAAATTCTAATTTTTCCGTCTTTCTTGGCAACCAGAACAACATTAGCTAACCAAGTCAGATACTGCGTCACTTGCACTACTTGGGACTTGATCTGCTTAGTAATCTCCTCTTTGATCTTCAAACTCAACTCAGGCTTAAACTTTCGAGTCTTTTGTTTTACTGGTCTGAAATCTCGGTTAATCGGCAACCTGTAGGACACCATATTTTTACTCAATCCTGGCATATCTCTATAAGACCAGGCAAACACATCAATGTACTCTCTGAGCAAACGGACCAGGTCTCTTCCTTGAGCTTCAGTCAGATGGACACTGATTCTTACTTCTTTAACACATTCCTTATCTCTGAGATTCAGTCTCGGTTTCCTCTAAATTAGGCTTGTGTTGATTCTCGAATTGTCGAAATTCATCAGCAACATGTTCGGGTATCTCATTTTCTTCTTCGTATTCCTCACATCCGTCATCACCTGCTTCATTTCGTTCACTCGGTTCATGACATGACATGATATTGGCAGGTTTTAAATTAATATTACTGAAATCATAAACAAACAAAGTTAGGAAAGTAAAATATAAACTATTAAGTAAACAAACAAATTTCGATAAAAGAGGCTTTTCATTTAGATTGAAAGACAAGCACAAAACTTTGGCCATGGCCGAAGGCCATTTTGCCTTTTTAAACCTCACAAGGGAATTTAAAAGCTTCAAACAAATAACAGTTGCATAAAGGGTGGGTCTCGGGCCTGTTCCGGACTACCACCGACTTTAAAACAACCAAAGACACATGTCTTTTCTACCCAGATGAGCGGGAAATCAGGAGTGCTGTGGAGGTCCAGTTCTGCGATCGCTCCTCAGGTTCTGCGTCCCGGATGCCTGACATCCCAGCCTCTTCTTCGATGACCACATCGATCTCCTAAAAAAGACCCCACATTCCTTCCCCGAGACCACCATCGCTGATATTTTCTCGTACCGGGAATGACTGGTACATATGAGGAATTGGCTTGGCCAATGCTTGATCAACATTCTTGTTCTTCATCTCTTCTTCGTTATCTATTGGGACATATCCCAAACCAAACTTCGCTCTTATGGCGGGGATTTGGATAGGCTCGACAATTCCTTGGAAATGCTTCCCCAACCTAAAATCTGGTTCGAAACCATTCTGGAGCATCACAGTAGCAATCATCTTGTACACGGCAGGCATAGGAGGCTGTGGAGCCAAGTCATCACCGGTGGCATTTACCAGCTCCATCGTGTAAAATTCGCAACCTCGAGAAACCTCGTGAACGATCGGCGCATACCCATCGGAATGAATCCCCTCACCATGAATGACCAATTCCTGGTCCTTCCAAACAAATTTCATCAGTTGGTGAAGGGTAGAAGGCACAGCCCCAACCATGTGGATAAACGGTCTTCCAAGAAGCAAGTTGTAGCTGGTATTGATGTCCAACACCTGAAACTCCACATTGAATTCTGCAGGTCCCATCAGGATATCCAAATTTACTGCCCCTACCGTGTTTCTCAGTACTCCATCGAAAGCTCTCACATTGACCTGGTTTTGTTGAGCCTTTCCCAAGTCGAATTTCAGTTGCTTGAGAGTCGAAAGCGGGCAGATGTTGAGACCGGACCCATCGTCAACCAAAACACGATTTATAACTTTATCCCGACATTTGATGGTGACATGCAGAGCTTTGTTGTGCATCCTTCCTTCAAAGGGAAGCTCTTCATCACAAAAACTGATTCGGTGTCGTCGGATGACCTGGTTTATCATGGCTGCTAAATTGTCACTGTTAGTACCCACAGGCACATACGTATCGTCCAAAGCCCTCATCAGAGCCTGCCTATGCAACTGCGAACTCATCAATAGGGCCCACAAAGAGATCTGAGCCGGCGTCTTCTCCAAATGCTTCACAATTGAATAATCTTTCGGCTGCATTTTTCTCCAGAACTCCTCAGCTGTGGATTCACTGATTGGCCTTTTTGCTTGGACCTTCTTCTGCCCTCCTTGAGCCAACTCTTCCGGTGTGTAGCACCTGCCGAATCTGGTCATACCCTGGGTAACAGCTATTTCAATCACAAATTTTGGTCGGGCAAGAGTTTCGCGTGGCACCAAGGCAACAACCTTTTCGGGCGTCAGAATTATAAACTCTTTCTTCTCTCTAATGCTCAACGAGGCTACAGCCCTCTCTAGTTCATCAGGAACAACCGGAACTGTTGCTTTTGTCACACACCAATCGTCATCTGTCTCTATCATATTGATAGTGACGCCTCCATGATTTGGGAAAGGATTACTATTGACATTGGGCGCGACCGTCTGAAGAGAGACCACGTTCTGATCGATCAGGTCTTGGATTTTATGTTTCAGGTTGATACAGTCCTCGGTATCATGTCCAACACTGTTGGAGTGATACGTGCACCTCTGGTCGGATCTGTAAAACTTTGAGCTAGTATCAACCGGCTTGGGACCCACTGGATGAATATATCCTACCGCGGTTAATCGCTCGAACAACTTTATTCGGCTATCAATGAGCGTAGTGAAAATTCTAGTAGGCCTCTTCTCAAATCTAGGACGGGGGGGATCGTAATTTCCTTGTTACGGAGGAAGCATCTGGCGATAATTTGGAGCGTTTGGACGGGGGCCTTGATATCTGGGATATGAGTTGGTTTGGTAATTTGGTTGTGGAGCTTGGTAGTTCAGGGGGTATTTTGGTAAAGTGGAGTTGGGGTTTGGTACATCGGGGGAGGAGTTTAGTAATTTGTCTGAACATTGGCACAGTTGGAGGCGACGTTTCGGTAGTGATGAATTGGAGTTTGTTAAATTAGAGGGGGCTTTTGGTAAATGGGAGGATGGGTATTTTGATAACTGGGGGGAGATTATTTGGAATCAGCCTGTGTATAACAAGCCGGGTACGAACTCTGTGAAGGTCGAGAACGACCTTGGTATGATGAGGTTTTCCTTAGGGTTTTCCTTGGGGTTTTCTTCTTCTCATAGGAGATAGATGACACATCCTCTATTTTCTTCTTCAACAAACCCGAAGATCCGGGAGAGGCAGCAACACGGGAAATCTTGCCGGTTCTCAATCCATCTTCGATAGTCTCACCT